GAGAGAGAGAGAGAGAGAGAGAGAGAGAGAGAGAGAGAGAGAGAGAGAGAGAGAGAGAGAGAGCAGTGGATTGAATGGGCTCGGTTCACTCAGCAGCACTGCGCCCTTCACTTTATCGATATTATCGATCAGTTTGGAGACATTTAGCCCCACAGCGGGTCCCTTACTGAGGCTAGCCCGGGAGCTAGCCCGGAACACTGGAGGCTAACACCGATGGGACGCGTGTGAAGCAGCCCGGGAGCTAACAGCAGCCTGGCGGAAAGAAAGAAACAAGGAAGCGGACAGCTAGCTGCGAGGCTACACCGAAGCTAACGTTGGCTAACTGCTGGCTAATATTATTTCTAATGAGAGACCGAGGAGTATGCGACCTGAGACCAAGAGGTGAGTGTCCGCAGCATTATCTCTGTCCGGTGCCGGTTACCGAGGCTCCGTGTGTCCGGTGTGTGTCTTTAATGAAGCGGACAGATAATGAAAGAGGAAGCATACTGCAGGGACACACAACAGCTAGCATCATGCTAACACGTTAGCAAGCGTAACATCTCAGATCGCGGGGGGGATGGGGAGGGATAGTGTCGTTTCACATGGTGTGATATTTAATTAACAACACACCTGACGTGTAGAAACGTTCACAGGTGTTCAGGTGTGTGGTCGTGTCAAATAAATGTAGGTTACTGTGACGCGCTATCGGTGTTAGCCGTTAGCGGCTAATCTCGCAAGTGGAGCCAGATGCGCATCTTCATTATTCTTGGCTGCTCACTTGCGTTAGCTCGCTTCATGGATTGATCAGATAAGATCAGATAATCAGTGATCGATCATCAGAGGGGATACTCAGGTGTTACAGCTGCACGAGGCCAGGTGTTATCAATAAATCTACTGATAATCAGATTTATCGGCTCAGTATGTGAACAAACACATCAAGGGACTGATTCCGGTTATTTTATATAACACACACACACACACACACACACATACACACCATACTTTTACCATACAACATGTACTCTCTCTCTCTCTCTCACACACACACACACACACACACCCAGATACACACCATACTGTTACCATACAACATGTACTCACACACAGATCTGTGACCTCATAACATGATCATTCTGCCCTGTGACTGGACTAAGTCATGACACATGACATTATGACCACAGACTATACCATGACCTTATAACGTTCACGTCACACTGTACTGTGACAGTTTGTGGCGTATTAAACATGACTCTATGACATCATAACATAATATACAATGACTCCTAGAATGTTTATACGACTATGATGCTGTGACTTACATAATAAAATTTTACGACATACTTTACTGTGACGTTATTACACTCTATACTATGATTATGATCAATTAAAACAAGGACAACAGCTGAAGAATTAAAGGTAAAGAACAGACACATTTTACAACTTATACTGTGACTGTTATAACATTTTCATGACACACTGCTGTGACTGTTATAACATTTTCATGACACATTGTACTGTGACTGTTATAACATTCTCATGACACATTGTACTGTGACTGCTATAACATTCTCATGACACACTGTACTGTGACTGTTATAACATTTTCATGACACACTATACTGTGACTGTTATATCAGTCTCATGACACACTGTACTGTGACTGTTATAACATTCTCATGACACACTGTACTGTGACTGTTATAACATTTTCATGACACTATACTGTGACTGTTATAACATTTTCATGACACACTGTGCTGTGACTGTTATAACATTTTTATGACACACTGTACTGTGACTGTTATAACATTCTCATGACACACTGTGCTGTGACTGTTATAACATTCTCATGACACACTGTGCTGTGACTGTTATAACATTTTCATGACACACTATACTGTGACTGTTATATCATTCTCATGACACACTGTACTGTGACTGTTATAACATTCTCATGACACACTGTACTGTGACTGTTATATCATTCTCATGACACACTGTACAGTGACTGTTATAACATTCTCATGACACACTGTACTGTGACTGTTATAACATTTTCATGACACTATACTGTGACTGTTATAACATTCTCATGACACACTGTACTGTGACTGTTATAACATTTTTAGGACTTACTATACTACTGTATGACTTTTATAAAAAAAATGTTTGACATACTACACTGTAATATGACAGACTAACAAAAGTTTAATCTGTATTTGTAATATTAATAATTTATGTAATGAAAATGTTGATACTTGGAGTGTGTTCATTGATATGATATTGCCACACATATCAGGATACTATGCTGCATCAATTCCCCACCCCTGGTATATATGAATATTATATAATATTATATCTATAGGACCAATAATAAAATAAAAACAACCTAAGTAAAAGTAGTTTTCTTGATTTCTTGATATCGAATATTGACAGAAATCCAATATCGTGCATTCGTAGCCGGATTAACTGATTAATCACTGCAGCTCCTGACCCAAAAAAAGATGGCAGCCGGATGAGGCAGCAGCTCCCATTCAGGCTGCCATCTTTGTTTGGGTCCAAGAGATGAAACGTGATGTCATCAGAGGGACGATCTGTCACAGCAGCAGGATGATGATGTCAGAGGACCAGAGACGTGTCGGCAGTTTCTTTGAGATGTCAGATGTGATGACGCACAGAGGGACAGCCTGTCTCTTTACCTGTTCACATGTGTTCACTCATTCACGTGTCGCATCTGTGTCTCTGTGTCTGCAGCTGACTTGTTGGGTGATGTCGGGCAGTAAGGCGCTGGGCGGGGGGGCAGGCGGGGGGGCGAGGCGCAGGCGGACGCGGTGCCGGCGCTGCCAGGCCTGCATGAGGACCGAGTGTGGAGAGTGTCACTTCTGTAAGGACATGAAGAAGTTCGGAGGGCCCGGCCGGATGAAGCAGTCCTGCCTCCAGAGACAGTGCACGGCGGTGAGACACACACACACACACACACACACAGATAACTAAGGTTTACATGTATGACCACGTCCTGATTGGTTCTCATACAGCAGTGGAAACTACATTTCCTCAAGTACATGCTGAGATAAAACTTTATTGATCCCTTGGTGAAATTCATAAACTATTAAACAGTAAATCAAATCATTAAAAACAATCAAACACACTACAGTTTGACTGTTTTCAACACAACTAAAAAGTATACATTAATATGATTTTTTACAGTGCCCTGAGACAAACAGAGTTTGGCTTTTGGAGCGCAGCAGCATGACCACGTCATGTGACGAGGACCAACCAATCACAGCCCACAGATATATTTCTTTCTTCATTAAATATCAGTGAGTGATAAATATGGAGGAGAAGTTGATCATGTTAGTGCAGAGCTGTCAGAGCGTCACATCTGTCCCACAGACACACAGGAAGTAGATCAGCTCTGACCTCAGGTATTCAGGTAAACAGGCTGTGATACGGTGCTGGTTATGGTTGCTTAGCAACCTCAGACGCAACCTGCTGCCACGCTCTTGGAAGACGGTACAGAGTAGCGCCCGACCTCGCGTTTTCCACGCGGGTAAAGACACGGTGTGTGTACGGCCTCTTACACATGTCAGAAAATACTTGTTGAAAACATGTGAATGGACCGTTAAACTGGTTCCCATTATTACTGTGTTGCAGGGTTTTTTGGTTGGTCTAAATGTTTGCTGGATGACGCACTGGAGGACTTTTTATTAAACTCAGTTTAGTCTGTAGATGTTATTTTCCAACTGTAACAGGATCGTTCAACATATCGTTCGGTAACAGGATCGTTCAACATATCATTCCGTAACAGGATCGTTCAATGTATCGTTCGGTAACAGGATCGTTCAACATATCGTTTGGTAACAGGATCGTTCAACATATCGTTGGGTAACCTGATCGTTCAACGTATCGTTCGGTAACAGGATCGTTCAACATATCGTTCGGTAACAGGATCGTTCAACGTATCGTTCAGTAACAGGATCGTTTAAGGTGTTTTTCAGTAACAGGATCGTTCAACGTATAGTTCAGTAACAGGATCGTTTAAGGTGTTGTTCGGTAACAGGATTGTTCGACGTATCGTTCGGTAACAGGATCGTTCGGTAACAGGATCGTTCAACATATCGTTCGGTAACAGGATCATTCAACGTATTGTTCAGTAACAGGATCGTTTAAGGTGTTGTTCGGTAACAGGATCATTCAACGCATCGTTTGGTAACAGGATCGTTCAATGTATTGTTCAGTAACAGGATCGTTTAACGTGTCGTTCAGTAACAGGATCGTTTAACGTGTCGTTCGGTAACAGGATCGTTCAAGGTATTGTTCGGTAACAGGATCGTTCAACGTATCGTTCGGTAACAGGATCGTTTACAGGATCGTTCGGTAACAGGATCGTTCAACGTATCGTTCGGTAACAGGATAGTGTAATGTATTGTTCGGTAACAGGATTGTTCAACATATTGTTCGGTAACAGGATCGTTTAAGGTGTTGTTCGGTAACAGGATCGTTCAACGTATCGTTCGGTAACAGGATCGTTCAACCTATCGTTCAGTAACAGGATCGTTTAAGGTGTTGTTCGGTAACAGGATCGTTCAACGTATCGTTCGGTAACAGGATCGTTCAACATATTGTTCAGTAACAGGATCGTTCAATGTATCGTTCGGTAACAGGATTGTTCAACGTATCGTTCGGTAACAGGATCATTCAACATATTGTTCAGTAACAGGATCGTTCAACGTATCGTTTGGTAACAGGATCGTTCAACATATTGTTCGGTAACAGGATCGTTTAAGGTGTTGTTCGGTAACAGGATCATTCAATGTATCGTTTGGTAACAGGATCGTTCAATGTATTGTTCAGTAACAGGATCGTTCAATGTATTGTTCAGTAACAGGATCGTTTAACGTGTCGTTGGGTAACAGGATCGTCTAACGTGTTGTTCGGTAACAGGATCATTCAACATATTGTTCAGTAACAGGATTGTTCAACGTATCGTTTGGTAACAGGATCGTTCAACATATTGTTCAGTAACAGGATCGTTTAACGTGTTGTTCGGTAACAGGATCGTTCAACATATTGTTCAGTAACAGGATCGTTTAACATATTGTTCAGTAACAGGATCGTTTAACGTGTTGTTCGGTAACAGGATCGTTCAACATATTGTTCAGTAACAGGATCGTTTAAGGTGTTGTTTGGTAACAGGATCATTCAACGTATCGTTTGGTAACAGGATCGTTCAATGTATTGTTCAGTAACAGGATCGTCTAACGTGTCGTTCGGTAACAGGATCGTTCAAGGTATTGTTCGGTAACAAGATTGTTCAACGTATCGTTCGTTTAACGTATCGTTCTGTAACAGGATCGTTTAACGTATCGTTCGGTTTGTGATGTTTACTAAACTGAAAGCCTCGTACTGAACAGATCAGTATGAATATGTGTCATTGTTACATCCACAGGAAACTGATAAATATACAGGTAGGAAAATTGGAGTTGGAATAGTTCGTAAGAGTGCGGGTATAAACAGAGCGAGGGTGAAGTCTCGTTTAGCCACATGTTAGAGACACGTAAAGGTTGTAAACTGACAGTGGGGTATTTACTGATGTAGAACAGAAGATGAAAATCTCTCAGTCACACTGACTTAAAGACGAGGAATGGGAAGTGCTATCATGCTAACTCATTCCCACAGCACTGTGTCTCCTGTCTCACTGAGCACAGTCACAGTGTCAGCACAACACAGTCGTTTATTTTTACCAACTGTGGGTTTGATCTCTGCACACAGACGTTACAGAGACATCTGTGGACACACACTGGTCCTCACACACAGACCACAGCGCACACTGACACGTTAACATGTCGACATAATCCTCTGTTACACCTGCACACACACACACACACTCACACACACACACACACACACACACACACACACACACACACACACAGACTGTCGGCTTCAAACTCTGAAGGTGTGATTTTTCTTTTTTAATTATTTATTTTATTTGTGTCGATTCTTCAAGCCAGCAGGCGACGATGCTGGGTTTCCGTGGCAACCAGAGATGGTTGCTGGCGCTGTGAGTGAGAAAGAGTTGGCTTTGATCCATCGAGATGCTCTAACACACACACACACACACACACACACACGCTGAGCCAGTCAGTCTTCATATTATTTCTGTTGTTGGGTTATTTATTTGTGTGCTTATGGGAGGAGGAGGAGGAGGAGGAGGTGGTGGCACCCTCTGGTGGTTCCTCAGAGATAAAAGGATCCGCAGGAGCAGCTCCTCCTCTTTAATCTTCACTTCAGGCATCATAATAAAACTGAAACAGCTTCATATGATGATCAGCTGTATTCAGATCAGATTTATTGATCCTCAGAGCTACAGACGGATAACAGACAACACAGACGTTACACTCACAGTACACAACAGATACACAACAGATAAACAACAGATACACAGTACAACCAGGCAGCTTCATCTGAGGCTTAAAATTAATAAAATGTCCACTAGAGTGCGTCCCCTCAGAGCTCCATGTTCACATATAGAAATCAACATGTTTACAGCCTGTTCGGTCTCTGGAGATCATTTACACATTTTTACACAACTCACCTGTTTATATTTTATTAAGGCTTAAATTCACATCATCAAGGGGGCGGGACCTCTTTGACTGACAGGCTGTTTGCTGACTGTAGATAGGTCCACCCCTCGCTCCTCCACAGCTCCACCCTCTTGAAGATGGCGACGGCTGTAATGCTGAACCAGAGGCTACGAAAACAGGAGTCCACAAACCAATGAGTGACATCACTGTAGCTACGTCTGATATTCTTTACAGTCCCCTCAGGAACACTGCTCAGCTTTGCTTCCATTTCCCTAGTGGCCACTCGTGTCATTACAGTAAAAAAAAAATCTCTGCAGCCCAAAAATTATTCTGAATTTTTGATCAATGGAGGTTTTGTATCCGTAAAATTATTTGTGACATCATCACAATGTGAAGTCTTTGAGCTGAGTCGGTGAAACACGACTGCACCGATTCAGTGGGCCGAACACGGCGAAATAAAGCTGGAAACTTTTTGGCGTATGCAGATGCCATCTTGGTGTTTAGTTTCCAGTTATCATCATACAGCTGAATACAACAAATAAATATCATCATAAAGAGCCACAATCTGACCCTCTGTCTGTCTGTCTCTCTCCACCTGTCTGTATGTCTGTCTGTCTGTCTGTCTGTGTGTCTGTACAGCCGGTCTTGCCTCACACGGCGGTGTGTTTTGCATGCGGCGAGGCAGGGAAGGAGGACACGGTGGACTCCGAGGAGGAGAAGTTCAACCTCTCTCTGATGGAGTGCACCATCTGTAACGAGATCATCCACCCGAGCTGTCTGAAGGTCAGTGATCTGTTTGTGTTGGAGCTGTGACCTCTGACCTCACGCTCTGATGTCACAGCTGCACATTTGACACATTTGAATCTTTTGTTTGTCACCACATCCTGTTTCTCACCTTTCAAAATAAGATACAGATTATTAAACGACTTGTTTGATTTCCTTGTTGATGATGTCAAAACGAACCGCCTCCAGTCTGAATTATTATAAAGTTTAATGATTTGTTTTTGTTACCATGGAGACCAGGCATGAAATACCACACCCAGTTCAGATGTTGACTCAACAAGATGGCCTTTGATTTAAACTTTTCATTTGGGTTAAATTGTTTTTGTGTGTTTACAGATGGGTAAAGCCGAAGGAATCATCAATGATGAGATCCCAAACTGCTGGGAGTGTCCAAAGTGCCACAAGGAGGGCAAAACCAGTAAGGTAAGACTCAGACCAGTAAGGTAAGACTCAGACCAGTAAGAGTCAGACCAGTAAGATCTGTTGTGTAGGACTAAATGTTAATATCCCTTATTGCACACTTGAGACTCTGCTAGAGACTCTGTGGGATGGTCAAGTGAGAGATGGCGTCCTCTGGGTTATCAAGTGGGCGCCCTCCTTCCTTGGTGTTTCGCTGATTGGCCCACGACACCTCCAGAGGGTTCAGCAGTGAATCCCAGTGTCCCAAGTTTTTGTTATTTATTTATTAAAAGGATCCCCATTAGCTGCCACCTAGGTGATGAGCTAGTCTTCCTGGGGTCCAAAACACTCCCTAGATGCCATCTACTCATTTGAGGGCCCAGGTGGAGTCCTTCCTCTTTATCCAAAACCACTGACTCCCCTTTTCAGCTGCTCTGGAGAGGTCCTTGACTGCCTGCTGGTGGGCCTTCCCTCGCACTCCCATCTCCAGGAGTAGCCTGGATGTTGAGGTGGCTACGAACCCTCTGCAGCCGACATCCACTGCTCATACCTTCGCTGCCCAGCCTTGTTGTTGTACATCGACTGCAAACTCAGCATACCTCAGCTCCTTGCGCTCATAGGCCACTTCCACTGCACTCTCCCAGGGCACTGTCAGCTCGATAATGTACACGTGCCTGAGCGAGGCTGACCATAGCACAAGGTCGCGTCGTAGGTTGATGGACGTGATCACAGCTGCAAAGCAGAGCTTCTGGCCCAAGTCTGCCAGCAGCTTCCAATCCCGTGCCCTGTCTAGCTGCCCAGTGTCTGGTCTTGAGGTTGTGAGACTGGCTTGACCCTTGCCCTTCTGGACAAATGTTGTTGCCTGCCAGCGGGATGACGGGGGAGGAAGGGCATTGATACCTGTCCTTTGAGTTTCCAACACTGCTGCAAGACATTTTAACACCTGGTTGTGCCACCAGGTGTAACGGCCTTGGGTGAAGCTGGTCGTGCAGCCCACCAACATGTGCTTAAGTGTTGCTGGACTCGGACAGAATGGGCATGCAGGGTCTTCACCATACCACTGGCTGAGTTTTTTGGGAGATGTAAGGATGTTGTAGGCAGCCCTGATGGTAAAGCTTGCCCTGAATGCCTCCATTTCCCACAGCTCTTGCCAGGAGATCTTCCTCTTCTCCACTCCTTCCCACATCATCCACTACCCTTGCTTTGCGTGCGCCATGGCCTTTGCACACCATCCTGCCTCCTCATACCGATGCACCTCCTGAACCACCAGCTTGTGTCTCTGGGACAGAGTGGCCTTGTTTCAGGCTGGTTTGCTGTCCCCAAGACCAAGACCACTCCTCCTCTGCTGCACTCGGCCAACTATTACCTTGTGCTTTAGTGCTGCCTTTGCCTGCTCAGTTGCAGCCAGTGGAGTCCACTTCCTCCTGGTAGCCAGGATGGGGGCAGCTTGGGCTACAAACAAGGTAAGACTCAGACCAGTAAGAGTCAGACCAGTAAGGTGAGAGTCAGACCAGTAAGCCGGTGAGAAGGTGTGCAACCATCTGTCTTTAAGCAGCCTCATGTGTGTGTTCAGGACCAGCCGGATGGCTCGGGGAAGCGGCGGCTGGATAACGGCGAGGTGGGCCGCTGGAAGCTCACAGATGACCCTCCCCCTAAAAAGAAAGCCCCTCCCTCCCTGGAGGAGGGGGGGAGGACAGAGGGGGGTCACAAGAGGAAGAAGGAGAAGGAGCTGCCTCAGGACAGCGGTCCCAAGAAGAAGGTGGAGTGTTAACCATTCACAGAGCAGATCTGACGGGAAGTTAATGTGTCCAACCTGTGAACAGCTCTGATTGACCATCTGTCTCTTCTTTCTTTTTCTCTCTCAGATGAAAGGAGCCCACGAGAAACGCCCCAAAAAGGTACCAAGCCTTTATTATTATTATTATTATTATTGTTATTGATAGTTGACAGTTGTTATGATTGTTATTGTTATTATGGGGTACCCTCTGGTACCTGACCCGGTGCAGAACTGATTTGTTTTCCCCCTCATTGTAAAAGGATGTGACGTTTGTGGGCGTTCCCGTAAATAACTGACTGTATCTATGTTGATAAAATGCTGGAAAATAAATTAAAATAATATTTAGAATAACGTTATGATCTGTAATGTTCCTGTATCTCATTTGGACTGGAAAATAAAAACATTTGAACATGTAAAACGTTCCGAACAAAACGTTTAATTAACGGACCGAACAAACAAACTGTCATTACAGACGAAGATGTCCTGATTCTGTTTTCTTGTTTCCATCAGAAACCCAAACAGGAGGCGGTGGAGTCCAACGGTCCCACTTCCTCAGCTGGTGGAGGAGCAGGAGGACTACAGGGCTCCTCCACTTCTTCTTCTTCTTCGTCTTCTCAACCCAGCGGAGGAGGAGGTGGGGGAGGAGGGGGAGGTGCAGGGGGGACGTCGAGTGCGGATCAGCGCTCGCATCACAGAGAGAAACTGGAACGCTTTAAGAGGATGTGTCTGCTGGAGCGCCGGCCTGAGTCCTCCTCCTCCTCCTCCTCCAGCTCCGAGTCTGACTCTGAGTCTGACTCTGACGACTCCCTGAGGGGGGAGCAGGCGGGAGGAGGCTCCTCACCTTCATCCTCCTCACCTGCCCCGCCTCCTCCTGTCGTCTATGGCAACAGCAGCGGCGGGCGGGCTGAGCGTGAGAGGAGTCGCAGTGAGCGTGAGAGGGAGAGGGAGAGGGAGCGGCGCCTGGCCGAGCTGGGCTTCAGCGCCAGCGAGGAGTCGGAAGGGGAGGGGGGAAGGGGGGAGGAGGAGGTGCGAGAGGAAGAGCAGGGAGTGGGGGAGAAGGCACGACGGAGAGGAGGAGAGGCGGGGTTACCTCCACGAGGAAGGAAAGGAGGACTGCTGGACGGAGAGGAGGAGGACACGCCCACCTCTGACAGGACCAGGAAAAACTCCGCCTCCCTCCCTCCACCCTCACCCCTCTCCTCCAATCAGATGCCTCCATCCTTGCAGCATGACGGCTTCACGGGGAAGCAGCGCAGCAATGGGCAGGAGGCACGCAACGGGCGGACACGAGGAGGGACGGGAGGGGGAGCAGGGGGGAGGGAGGGAGGGGAGAAGGAGAATGCCAGTGGCGTTCTGACTAATCACAGACACAGCGGCGGAGGAGGGGGTGGGACCAAAGGCAGCGGGAGCCGCGGCAACAAGATCCGTAGCAACAGTAAGAGCCAGACGTCCAGGAGCAACATGTCCTCCCCCTCCTCCTCCATCCCCACCTCTAACGGAGGGGGAGGGGGGGGAGGTGGCCTGATGATGTCAGCCATGGCGGCGTCTCCCTGCTCACAGCCGTCCCGTCTGGCCCCGCGCTCTCAGATGATGAAGCGCAGCCCTCCGGCTGTGCCCTCGCCCCCCCGGCCCGTTCAGATGGAGAGACACCTGGTGCGTCCCCCGCCCACCTGCCCCGAGCCCAGCTGCCTGCCGCTGGACTCTGGCTCCTCCCACATCATGACACGTGACGTGTGGCTCCGAGTCTTCACTCACCTGAGCCAGAGAGAGCTGTGTGTCTGCATGAGGGTGTGTCGCACCTGGAGCCGCTGGTGAGTCACACTTGACATCACAGTGACATCAAACTTGACATCACAGTGACATCCCACTTGACATCACAGTGACGTCACCTCTCCTGCCACATCACTCGTAGATACAGAAACATAGACGCCTCACAGCCTCTGGACCATACGCCAACGTCACATCTAAACAAACAGAGCGCCGTCTTCACACCCACGTTGTGCTGCGTCCAAATCAGACGGGTCCTTCTTCACAGAGCGTCTCTGAGGAGACAAATAAGATAAATATAAATATTAAACCAAAACGTTTGACCCCAAACTACATCATCAGGTCACTTCCTGCTTCACCTGAACTCTGGAAGATATAATATATGTTAACTAAAATAGGAGCTGGTAGGAGCTAGCTAGAGGTGCTGCACGCTACAGTGTTGCTGTGCAAACATTGTGTCCGCCCTCCATCTTGTTACAGCTGGTCACGGCGTCCTGTTGGCAGAGCGTGTTGCTGCTGAAGTGTTGCCCCTGCAGGTCGACCCGGTGAGTAAGTGGCTCAGTTTTGAGCCACAAAGCCCCTTTAGCATGGTTAACTATGTTCGCACTGCTACCTCTGTTAGCACTGTTAGCATAAATGCTAAAAGGGTTTTGTAGCTCGAAATGAAGCCACTTACCCACCAGGTCGACCTGTGGGGAAGCACAACTCTTCCACAGCAACTTGATACACCAATAGGAGGCCATTACCATCTGTAATCATCAAATGAGCTGCGCTGCAGCAAGCTAACGTTAGTTCCCACCTGTTTGCAGTTTGATAATCTGAACACAGAACATGTTTTCTTGTGGCATCCTTTCTAAAATGATTATTCTGTTCTGATCAGGGAATTAATGAGCAGACAGTGTTAGCTAGCTAGCATGTTAGCTAGTTGAAAAGTCGCTACTTCCACATTAAATGATATTGTATAGGGACGTCTCCACAAGTATTAACCAGGGACAATAAGACAATTTAACACAGTTGATGCAGCGTCTACGTAACTCTGTCTGTGACATCACATGTTTAGTGTCTGTCTCTTGTCTCTTCTTCAGGTGTTGTGATAAAAGGTTGTGGACTCAGATCGATCTGAGCCGGCAGCGCTCCATCACCCCCCCCATGCTGAGTGGTATCATCCGCCGACAGCCCGTCTCCCTCAACCTGGGTTATACCAACATCTCCAAGAAACAGTTAATGTGGCTCATCAACCGCTTACAAGGTGCTGCCAACACTTCCTGTTCACCTGTCTGGAGACGTTCAGTCTCTACGACACAACTTTACAAATCTGTCTTTCTCCTGACATGTCCAAATGATATTTATATCATGATCTTCTCAAAAACATAATCTGTTCTTCAAACACTCAGCAGCTTCTGTGAAGTTTAGTTGATTCAAAACACACATTAAACATGAACACAAATTAGCTTCACTATAACTCGCAGCATTCACAGACAAACACTTGTCTTTATCTGGACACATTTTCCCCACAAATACAACATGCTAACGTTTTTAGCACAAGCCTATGGCATTTTACATTGTATAAATTAGCCTAGCAGCTAGCAGAGATTTCCTCTGCTCATATGAAACCAGGGACAACAGCAACATTTCCACTGAGGGAAATGGTTTCAGCTCACAGAGACAGACAGGAGGTCTGCGTCAGGCTACAGTGTAGGCTCTGTGTCAACCTACAGAGCCTACACTGTAGGTACAGCATTGAGTCGACACAGATGTGTCAATCCTGCATTAGTCTCACCTGTCCCATGTGTGTCCTGTTCAGGTCTGTTGGAGTTGAATGTGTCGGGGTGTCCGTGGCAGGCGGTGTCTGCTCTGTGTCAGGCCGTCTGTCCCTGTCTGAAGCTGCTGGACCTCAGCAGAGTGGAGGACCTCAAAGACTCTCACCTGAGAGAGCTGCTGGCCCCCCCACCTGACACCAGGACAGGTGAGAGACACGTCACCTGACAGGAACACACTCGGAAGCAGGAAGCGTTAGTCTCATGCTGCTCTGGGAACGTTTCAGGAACACGTCGGTTCACAGAGATGAATTCTTCTGAATGAGCAGATTATTGTGACATCATGGTGAAGTTCGTTATCACAGCAACTGAAACTAAATGTAATGATTGGAAATTAAACCGTCTTTAGCTTTGAGTTCAATACACACACAAAATAAGGGCGTCTGTGTAATATTACTTTGTACATTTTAAGGGGTTTTATATTAATTACTTTTAATCAATTAATTGATTATAATAAACACCATAAACTGATAATAAATGGAGATGTCATGTCCTTAAAATCTGTTTGTTAAGTAAGGGCTTTTGATATCAAAGTTAAGGGGTTATATTCAGAGCTCTTTGACTTGTTCATTGGTTCAGATTTAAAGGCTGTTTCACATCCAAATTACACACGAGTCCCTTATAAACCCTTCAAACCCACTTAAATGTTCAGGTTAACCATTTAAATCACCTTAATGTATTTAAGGTATGTTTCGTTTCCATTAATTGAGCTATTAATTAGCACCAGATTTAGGGTGAGCCCTTTAAATTTTACCTTAAATTGGAAATAAATGTCATTTAAAGAGACTAGTTTTAAGGGGTTTTACTTTACCTTAACAACACTAAATAGATTTGTCAAATTTATTCACTTAATGTGTAAATTAAGGGCAAACTTGTGTACCCATTAAAATCTATTTAATTATTAATTAAGGGGTTTTAAAGGGTGTTTTTTAAGGGTTTTTTTTATTTATTGATAAATTTATAAATTAATGAAGTTTATTTGAATTATTTAAACCCTTAAGCTCAGATTCTAAAACTTTTGTTGTTTCATTAACACATCTTTGTTCTCTGCTCTCTGACTGGTCGCTCAGCTCATGGTGAAAGCAGAGTGGGGCGTTTCCAGAACGTGACGGAGCTGCGACTGGCTGGTTTGGACCTGACGGACGCGTCGTCTCGTCTGTTGGTGCGTTACGTCCCTCACCTGAGCAGGTTAGACCTGAGCCACTGTGGGAACATCACGGACCAGACGGTGCACACCCTCACCTCCCCCATCTCCCCCCTGAGAGAGAGCCTCACCCACATCAACCTGGCAGGTAAACACAGCAGAGACTGTAGCAGGTCTGGTGTTCTATTGGCCAAATCACTGTGACATCACACCAACAACAACAGTCACTTCCTGGTAGACACCTGCCGATTGTTTTCACCTGCTGAGACGTGTTTGCAGCAGCAGGTTCCTACTAAAGATGTGAACTCACCTGTGTGTGTGTGTGTGTGTGTTTCAGGTTGTGCAAAGGTGACGGAGCAGTGCATCCCGTTGCTGCGTCGCTGCCCCTCCCTACAGACGGTGGACCTGCGCTCCTGCTCCCTCCTCTCCTCTGAGACCGGACAGCTGCTCTCCTTCCCCTCCCACACCTCCTCCTCTTCCTCCTCCACCTCTTCATCCTCCTCTTCCTCCACCACTACCACAGTCGCTGCTTCATCCTCCTCCTCCTCCACGTCTGCCTCCTCCTCGTCCTCCTGTCCTCCTGAAGACAGAACGCTGCTAAAGAACAGCTAAAGTCCTCCTGCAGGTCATGTGACACTTGAGTCATTGGTCCAGACGGCCTGTAAGCCCCACCTCCAACCTCATTACACTACAGACGGGTGAGGGAGATGAGGAGGAGGAGGAGGCATCTGTGCAACATTTCTCCTGATGTAACAAGTCCAGCGACCAGAAGAAGAGGAGGAAGAAGAGGAGGAGGAAGAGGAAGCTGTTTTAGGAAAGTTGTGGGTAATAGGTAAAAAATAGAAACCCTGAGCATGTACATATTTGTTCTCTGTACAATTTTGGGTGTGTGTATATATCTGTAGTTTACTGTAAATGACCCTTAACCTTTGAGACATCACCCCAACACTCCTTTCCTTCTCTCCTTCCCTGCTATCCTTCCTTCCTTCCGTCCTTCCACCCTTTGACCAGTCATCACTGGGCATCACCTGCTCGTCAGCAGCTGCAGAAAACAGGGGACAGAAAATCAAGACTTCATGTTGGTCACATTTAGTTTGTGTGATTTGACAGGTGACATCATCGACACCCCCCCAAAAAAAAAAAAACAACAACAACAGGAAGTCAGAAACTTGGTTTGTTTCTGGGAAGTTTAAAATAAGGTCAGTGTGACGTTTGCATCTCTGAGCGTTGGTCAGACACCGAGACTAACAGTTTCCCTTTGCTTCCAGTCTTTGTGCTAAGCTAGGCTAAACACGTGTGTCTGCTCTGACTCTGGGCGAGCGGACGCCTCGTCTCTCTGCGAGGTTTGGAATGGTTAAACGACTGTTTTCACTATTGATGAATCCGCAGATTATTTCCTCCATTGTTTGGTCTGTAAAAGAAACGTTTTTAGAGTCCAACGTGATGTCTTCGTTTGGTCCGACAGTCCAAAGGTCAAAGTTCAGTGAGATGAAACAGAAACCGTCACATCAGTGAAGCTGAAACGTTCTTTAAGAAATGACTCAAACAAAAAATCAAAGATCAGTAACATCAGAAGAGACGATTGATCCATGAGACGTCTGCAGCTCTGACGTTCAGTGTGTCCTGAAGATTAATATGAAAAATAAAGTTTATAGTGTCGTGAGAGAAAATCAGAAATCATTTCCTTTGTAGTGACGAGCCAACGGACATCATAGTGAATGTAAACACACCTGTGTGCGTGCATGTGTCCGTGTGCGTGTGTGTGTGTGTGTTGAAAACAGTGTTAAATGTGACTGTATGAACCCAGTGTGAACCAGTAAGACCAGTAAGAGACACCTCAAACACTGATCGGCAGCACAGTTCCTCTGAATGTTCTCAGTAAACAGGAAGTGATTCGACCACCACCCGTGACAGTGACGGCATAGCTCTCACCTGCAAGCGCACCTTCTGCCTGTTTACATTGAAAACCATGGCGTGTGCACGGGCCCCGCAGTGACCTCATCATATGTCACAGATATCAAAGTTACTGTCATGTCAGACCACAGAGAGCATCTGAACCTGGAAATATCACATGATCATTAAAGTAGTTAGTGATTATTTTTCTGTTCTGATTAATTGTCTGATCGTCGCAGCTTCAGTCTGACGTTCAGCTGAAGTTAAACCTGCAGCAGGTCGTTTAAATTTAACACGGACATGAATCAGACAGATGGAGCTAAGCTAACAGTTTCCACCTGCTCCCAGTGTTTGTGCTATGCTAAGCTAAAAGTTTACAACTACCTAGTGTCTGTGCTAAGATAAGCTAACGGTTTCCACCTGCTCCCAGTGTTTGTGCTATGCTAAGCTAACAGTTTTTACCAGCTTTCAGTGTTTGTGCTATGCTAAGCTAACAGTTTCCACCAGCTTTCAGTGTTTGTGCTAAGCTAAACTAACCAGACGTATCTCTGAAACAGATCCAACAGTTTCAGTAAAATGTCCGACTGTTCCTTTAAATGCCTCGCAGTGACATCACTGGTGTGAAGGTTGTTCAGGTGTGTTTTGGGGGTGTTCTTCTTCCTGTGTGTGTGTGTGTGTGTGTGTGTGTGTGTGTGTTAGACCGACAGCGCTGGGTGTGTTTGAATCTGAGCCTCAGTGTCTTCAACGTTCGCCTCATTTATTCATTCATCTTCCCCTCTTTGTCTTTAAACATCTGCTCCTCCTCCTCCTCCTCCTCCCATGTCCATCACCTCTGATCAGATTCTTTTGGGAAGTTATTGACGATGTTTTTTCTCAGGAGTATTTCTTATATTTATTTTCCATCAGTCCGAACACACATTCCTTCAGAATGTTTCACATGTTGTTTCTGTGATGAACATTTCCTCTGTTTGCTGCGTCCTTCAGGTGACTCTCACCTGTATGAATATGTTTCTACGGAAGCCCATTTCTGCCAAATAAGTTTAGAATAATCACGGTACGTCAAGATGATCAGATACTGAATCAAGATTATGACTCGTTTTGAAAAGTCATCACCATGACACACTGTAAATGATCTGCGTTTGGTTTCTATTAATTTGACTTTATGTCTCATTATCTGGATTTTTCTAACTCATGATTCTTTTTGATAATTTAATAATCATTTTGACTCATCTTCATTCGCTGTCTCACAATCTTGATTCTGTTTTATGATCTAATGATTCAGAAAGTTGTGAACTTGATCCTGACGAGTTAAACTTTTCTTGAGTGTCTTCGTATTTATTCCAAACTTTACATCAGTTTTTTGGCTAAAATGGGCTCCTGTAGTTTCCTCAGGGGCCTCACTTATGAAAAAAACTACAAAGTCAATTTCACGCCAGGATTGTTGTTTGATGCGTCCCATAAAAAGTGCAAAGACAGAAGTTTTTCATAAGTGACGCTCGGAGATGAATCACGTGTCGACTGTGACTGTTTACTATCCGTGTGTCCTGGCTGTCTATTCATCAGGCAGCGGCACTGAGCGCTTCTTTACTTCATGTTCATGTTCAAATCAAACAGCAGCCAAACTCTTTGTGGACGACACTGACTAGAATCAAAGTTCAGTAGAGTTCAGGCCGCTTTATACTGGCTAGCATGTTGGTTAGCTTGTTAGCTTCACAGTCTCATGTTAGCTTCATATGATGTAGCTCGTTGGCTTCAAGCGTTCTGTCACAGGTGTGTTTGCGTTACCTCTGCTGCACTGTTCTCTGAGAAAAACTGAATCCACGATTCAAATTAGGTCGAGAAAAGGAGCAGGAAACAGTCACTGGCTAGCTAACATTAGCTGCTAATTAGTGGTTTAGTTCAAGTGGTTCAGGTTAATCTGATCTTGTTAATGAGCTGTGTCGTTAGACTTTAGAGAAAGATCTGTCTCTGTATTATATAGTGTGAACAGATTGACAATCTGTGTCTTCATGTGTAATCTGTAAATATAAAACACCTTCCTTAAATACAGAAAAGATTTTTAAATTCACAAAAATATTTTGCAAATATAAAACAGATCAGCAAATACACAAATCCCAACAAAAAGAACTGCACAAAATGTAAATCTGCAGCCTTGAACTGAGATCCACAGATATCTGTTTGAAAGTTGTAAATGTCAGGAAATGTTTTTTTTATTTATTTGTAGATTAATTACATTTATTCAGATATTTTTTATTATGTGTGACATTTGTGTATTTGCAGCTGCATTTTTATTTGCAAAGTAGTTTCTGATTCATGGGAGGTGTTGATCTGTTCATACAAATAATACTTGGACAAATCTATCTCCATATTAGCCCGTTAGCAAACTGGGCTAACAGGCTAACACTAGCTATCTAATTAGTGTTAGCCTGTTACAAAGACAGTGGTGGTTGGGGAATGTTAGCTGTAGTGCAAAGTCAGAAAAATTAAAACTAAAAAACATTTATATTTCACCGCGGAACACAGCTTTTGTCAAGCTATGGGGACAAGTTATGCTAACAGTAGCTTGTAAGAAAACTAATATGTAGCTAACAAATAAATTGTATTCTAGTGTTTACAAATATGCTGATTAATTTCCCGAACTTTAGCCCATTTCTGTAAATTAGCTAACTAATTGGCCCATGAGCATGCTGAGGAAACAAGCTAACACTGGCTAGCTAACCAACATTAGCTTAATGGAGAATGAAGGTTATGCTACCATTAGCCTGTGAGCCTGCTAATATGTAGCCAGCTCCTCATAGAAGAAGTGTTGCAGTGGTTAAAAGCTAATGAATCTGCTTCATCTGCATTGTAAGTGAGCTCACTTATTAGCTCATTAGTAAGGTAACAGGCTAACAGTAGCTTGCTAATTAGCGTTTGCTTGCTATAAAGGCAGCGGCGGTTGGGGAATGTTAATGACAAGTCAGAAAAATTTAAACTGAAAAACAAATAGGAACATTTAAATGACACTGTGGAACAGAGCTGTTAGCAAGCTACAGGGACAAGTAATGCTAACATTAGCTTGTGAGCAAACTAATAAATTGTTTTGCAGCAGTTAAATGCTAATTAATTTGTTACACTTGCATATTGATGAGCTAACTTATTCAGTAAGTAAGTAAAATAAAATCTACAAATTAAATTATGTCTGAAAAAGAGCGGGAAAACTACCATGATTTAACGCTAATTAATTTCCCAAACCTTCGTGAGCTTGTTTGCTCATTAGCATTAAAAAGCAGATGTAAGCTAGCTGCACCAGTTTGCTCCAGTACAAGCAGAGGAGGTTGTCGGGTTTAAATAAAGATTATTATTATTATTATTATTATTAATGTTTAATCTTTTAGTTAATCAACAGATTAAACTTTAATTTTAACGATCGATTGAACGTTTTAAAGCATTTATTAAATAAAAGACATATTCACTGTCTCAGCTGGTTTTCTGTCTATTACGTCAGTAAAAATGAATATTTGGGGGTTTTGGACTGATGGTCGGACTAAACTGTGAAATCTGAGAATCTTTTCTCTCTTTGTTTTTTTGAGAGATTTTTATTGAAAGTTTCGTGGCAGTGCAGTAGAGGTAATAAGGTAATACCGTTAGCTACGTCAGCTAGCAGGTTGGTGTTAGCTGGTCTGCTGTAGTCTATGAAATAAAAAGTATTAATAGATCAATTTGAAAATGCCATAAACGCCTTGTTGTGCCATAAACACACCAGATCAATGTTTCACTGTGTTTAAAGTTCAGTTTTTATATTTTATTTTTTGTATTCAGATGTGATTTAGTTGTTTTTTTTTTGTTTTTTTTATTGTAACTGTAATGTGGGGATCAATGATGCATATCACAGCTTCAAACTTAACCTAGCAACAAGTGAGGAGATCATATCTGATTGGACGGAAAAGCCTTGACTCCTGAGAGCTCTCATCCAATCAGACGCTCAGACATATCTCACCTTTTCTCTGTTGTCTTATCTTAGTTAAAAAAAAAAAAAAAAAAAAGTCCGAATCTCTTCATCCATGTTTCAAGATGCACTGGACCATCATCATCATCATCATCGCCTTCATCCTCACCTTTTGCCAAATGTAGTTTTTGTTGTGAAAAGGGGCATTTATCTTGTTTTTTGTTCTTTTTGATACTTTGTCCATGACTCTTCCGTTGTGTTGATGAAAAAAAAATGGGGAAGAAGTTGGAACAAAAAGTAAAAAGACACAAAAAGACCAACTCAAGGCAGCTACGTATGAGTGACTACTGTAAAATGACTAACTAATAAAGAAGCAATGGGTTTGTTTTTACCTTCGACTCTTTCGTTTGTTCATTGAGATGAATTAAACGTCTGCAGCTTGGTCACAGGAACTAAAGAATATGAGCTGGTGCTTCATATGGTTCTGATTATTGTTATTTCATATTTAAAAAATGGATCTGTAATTTATTATTCATTTAAGAAGTCAATGGCTCAGACGCTGCTGTCACGATCTGAACATCAGTACAGCTCTGAGGTACTGCAGAGATGTATTTACACTTTGTAGTTCATTCATTTTCCATAACCACTCATCCTGTTGGGGTCACAGGGGGGTGGAGCCTATCCCAGCTGACATTAGGTGAGAGGCAGGGTTCACCCTGGACAGATCACCAGACAGCACTGACACATAGAGACAGACAACCATTCACACTCACATTCACACCTATGGACAATTTAGAGTCACCAATTAACCTGCATGTCTTTGGACTGTGGGAGGAAGCTGGAGCACCTGGAGGAAACCCACGCTGACACGGGGAGAACATGTCAGAGCACCTGGAGGAAACCCACGCTGACACAGGGAGAACATGTCAGAGCACCTGGAGGAAACCCACACTGACACAGGGAGAACATGTAGGAGCACCTGGAGGAAACCCACACTGACACAGGGAGAACATGTCGGAGCACCTGGAGGAAACCCACACTGACACAGGGAGAACATGTCAGAGCACCTGGAGGAAACCCAC